CGACACGATGCGTCGGTAAAGGCGAGGGTTCAGGTTTGTGAGGGCGTCGTCGCTGATGGAGATGCTGCCAGTGGAAGGGTCGTAAAATCGTTCGAGCATGGCGATCATAGTGGATTTACCGCAGCCCGACGCCCCGACAAGGGCAACGAACTGACCTTCTTTGATCTGGAGATCCAAGTTAGCCGGAAGATTCTAGGAGGGTTGAGGGGAAAAGGGGGTGGAAGGTTACATGAAGATCTATCCCTCTCAGGACAGTGGCATCTGGGCGAAGGGGATAAGAGAATCGGATGGAGTCGATATCAATTGGTCCGCCAGACTTGGGGCCGTTGTCTTTGTTGTGGGAGTTTTCTTCGACCGTTGGTTTGAGCTCGTGAAGCCAGAAGATGTAGTTGGCAGCATTCTTTCCATTGGTCAAGCCTAGAAATTGTCAGCATGGTCCCTGACTGTAAAACTTTGGAAATCACTGACTCGTTGAAAATTGGAAGAGTTCCGAGGTTGCCTGGCCTGAGAAGAAGACGGCCATGAAGGTAACAAAAAAGTTGTACATGGAAACTTCCCCAAACGACAACAAACGGCATCCCCACCTGGAAATTAGACGTCAGTATGATAGTTTGATGTCATATATTTGGGATCAACCTACCAGAAGCCTAGAGCCATGAAGTAGTACTCCATCGACTGCGTCAGCGCAAACCAAAGCATCATGAGGCACAAGGGTCGCACAGCGCCAGTAATGGAAAGGTCCAGCTCAGACACATATCTGTCAAGGACCTTCTCCTCGATTGCCAGAGAGGATACAGTACGGATCGCTGTGACTGCCTCGGAAGCAATGGCAGCGCTGTTGCTCGTGCGCTTGTCATTATCTTCCTCCAGCTTGGCGTTGGAGCGGATCTTGAGCCAGCCAGAGCCGACCATGGGTGGCAACCCAGCAAAAACAACCACCACGCCCAATTTCCAGCTGTGTGCGAGACCGAGGATACTGCAAACAGTAATATTGAGTATTCCAATGAGGATGAGACCAATATTGAAACCCATGAGCTCAAGAATAGCTTGTGGGTTCGAGTCAACTCGACTTGTCAAGGCGCCAATGCTGTTCTCTGGTCGGTCGAAGAACTGGAGATCTTGTCTCATTATATCCTGCAAGCTCTGTCGCCTTAATTTATGAGATAAAGCCTGTAAATATTGTTAGTAAGATATGTGAATCAATGTCCAACTGGCCTGGAGGGGATGGGGGTTACGAACCTGAGCAATTGTGTTTGTTGCCATGCCGAGAGTGAAATAGGCTACCAAGCAGCCTGCGGCCAAGACTATGAACATCCGAGCAAAGTAGCTCCCCTTATCTTCCATCTCCTGACCGGTCAAGGTGAACACCTCCACAGTGTTTGAAAGCAACAGGGCTTGGCCCGGAATGGCTCCAGCTGGGATTCGTCAGCGTTTATATCTCATTGACAATATCAGATGGGGCAACTTACCACCAAGGACACACGCGACGAGTGTGATCATGTAGACCCATTTGAGATCTGGGTTCTCTCTGACGAGGCGCCATATTACACCGACGAAACCTAGATGCTTATGGTTCTCGTAACTGTCCCTATCCTTCTGGGCCTCCAGGCGGGCTCTATCTGCCGTTCCAAAACGAGTCAAGGTCTTCGTGAGATCGGCCGGGTCTGCGCAAACCTGCTCGGCGGAATCCTTGTCTTCATTTTCCGAAGTCGTTTCTTCTGCTTCTTCCTCGGCTGAAACTGACAGGTTCTGGATTTTAACGAGTCGGGCATACGTGCCGCCCTGTGCGATCAGGTCCTCGTGGCTCCCTTGTTCTACGATCCGGCCTTTGGTCATGACAACAATGTTGTCTGCCTTGCGAATGGTGGCCAATTTGTGCGCAATCACGATGGTGGTCCGTCCCTTGGAGGCTTGGTCGAGGGCTTTCTGGACCACTTCTTCGGCATGAGGATCAAGAGCACTGGTGGCTTCGTCCAAGAGCAGAACCTTGGGTTTAGACACAACCGCACGGGCAATAGCCACACGTTGTTTCTGACCTCCAGAAAGGAGCCCTCCTCGCTGGCCAATCTCGGTGTCGTATCCATTGGGAAGGCCGGAGATGAATTCGTCGGCGTATGCCAGCTTAGCAGCTTCCCTCACCTGTGTCATGCGCTCTTCCGTCGATGAGTTTTCCCATTCAGTACCCACGAGGCCATAGGCAATGTTGTCAAAGACTGATCCCTGGAAAAGGATGGGTTCTTGTTGGACAAGACGGACATGCTTTCGTAACCAGTTGATGTTCAGTTGATCCAACGACCGACCATCGAGTTTGATTGATCCCGAGGTAGGCTTGTACCACCTTTCAATGAGTCCAATGATGGTGCTTTTACCAGAACCACTTTGGCCCTTTACAGAGTGGTCAGTCGGACACATAAGATGGGTAAATCAGGTGACAAGAGTAACGTACCACGAGAGCAGTGACTTTCCCAGCAGGAACATTCAGGGTGAAATCCTCCAAGACGGTGATGCCAGGGCGCGTAGGATAAGCAAAGCTGACATTCTCCAGTTCGACATGGCCGATAGTCTCACTTGGTTGCTCACCAGATTTGTCCAGTGGATTTATATCGGATTGGCGATCAATGAGAACAAAAAGTTGACCGGCGGCGGCGGCTGCCCGAGTGAAGTCGATGGAATGAGGGGCAAGCATGGTGATGTTGATTGAGCCAAGGGTCACAGCCAACAGGACACTGTAAATATGACCAAATCAGTAGGAGCGACTTTATCGTTGAAGGGAGGGGGACCATACGTAAAGATGTCACCGGGATCGTCAATTTCGCCTCGGGCAAGCATGCGAACGCCTTGCCAAAAAGCCAGACCGAAACCAAGATAGATGATAGTATATTCGGCGGAGAACAAAAAGCCAAAAAGGGGTGAGATCTTCTTACCCCAGCCATGGGCTTCATCAAGATATTTGTCGAACTTGTTGACTAGTCGGGACCTCATTTCGAATGCATGTACCGTCCTGGCACTGGCAATCACCCCCTCCGCAAATGAATTGGCCTGAGCATACACCTCGAGAATCTTGGTTTCGTATCCAGCTTCTATGCCGGCAACGACGCCCATGACCAGAATCGTGGCCGGGGCAATACAGCAAATGATCAACGTCAGCTTCCAGTTGGTGACAAATGCGACAATGAAGGCGGTAACGAAGACAGATATTCCCTGGAACGTGAGGCCCATCTTTTCGGAGATTCCCTTGGATATGAGTTTGCCATTGGAGGTGGCCTGTGTTGCGATGGAGCCTCCAGAACCAAGATCATAGAATGCAACCTCCTGACAGAGGGCGGACTTGATGTAAGCCCGTCGAATATTACGAGAGATGCGGTAAGAGCTGTAGGTCAGGAGAGTATTGTAAGTATACGACAGAACGGCCCTTCCTATACCCAAGCAGACGAAGTAGAGACTGTATAGAGAGGTTAGGTTAGCGGATAAGACGACACCACGACACAAGGAGACCTATTATGGGAAACTGCGCTTACGCCAATCTTGAGGTTTCTCGTCGGAACTCAGGCGGGGTTTTGTCTCCCGAAGCAAACTTGGTGATGGAGGTGATAAATGCACCAAATATTAGTGTCTGGAGCGCAACACCAGAGCCAGACGCAACGGCACAGAGCGCCGAAATGCTCTGCAGAACAATCTCAAACCGCGTGGCATAGGAAAATATTCTCTGGAAACTTGATTAGAAGAGTGATCAATATTCTCGATCGGTATTGAGCCGGAACATACAAAATATGCACCCCACCCTCCAGCCTCGCCTACTGAGGGTGGAGAGTCGACATCGGACTGTTCTTGCTTGACCGGCTCCTCCTTGAGGCTCACGGGGCCTTTCTCATTGTCCTTTTTTTCCGCCATGTTCAGTTCAAGGGCGCTTCGATGTTAGTGGCGTTCAGTGTGATCTAGAATGGCCCTCCCATTCTGCGAAAACCCCTGCGCGGACGAGAAGACGGACTATAAACAAACAGAAGACAGGCTCAGATGGACGATGAAACCATGCTGAATCTTCACTCAAGGGGTGGGGGCTAAAAAAGATTCATGCCGACGATGAATTGACATTGAAAAGGGACTAAGCTAATTAAATAATGTAACCCTGGATCGTTGAGCAATTGAAAGCCGCTGAGATACAAGATGCCTTTGCGCGATGCGGAGGCCGCGGGTCCCCGAATTGGAGGCCAACGGAGGCGACCTTTCATCATCCATGCGCTCGGCCAGCCGTAATCTGGTTAGTGGACACAGGCTACAGCGAGCTCTTCCATCTGATTAGTGACGAGGTTCGACTAGCAGGGATGGCCTCAAAGCCTTAATATGACTCCCTTTGTTCTCACTTGCATCATCGCATTTTTCGTATCGGGTACGCGGGCCAGTCCGACGATGTTAGATTGTAATAGATCGTTCACGTGCAGGGGATGCGGACTTGAGGCATCCTCATTACTGCAAGGCCGGAGGCCGTGCTGACAAGAGGGTTTCTCTCCTTAATCCACTTGTCTTAAGTTGTCTTGAATTGCAGGTGCATGAGTCTTGGCCTCGGGCGGGGCGGAAGAATGAGAACCCCGAACGGCACAATTTTTGTGCAGCCGCTTGAACTGCACAAAGGCGCGTATAGGTCCCGGGTAGGTAAGTTGGCGCTGGTGCCAATTAATGACGGCGCGTCATGTCGCTTTAAGTGCCAGACGCGTTGAGCTTCGCGACAGACCTGCGCGCGCCCGAAACCCACTCCAAAGTCAACCTCCGGAATAATGCCCCCAACGGCGTCTGCAGTGAGACGGTCATCGACATAGTGCATGGGTGCTGATCTTTTTGTGTTTCCTGAACTCAATCAAGCACCCTTTCCAGCACTTTGATCCTTTACTTCTCCTTCTCTATCCTCCTAAACTTGATGCTGGACTCGCCCATTCCCTGATCAGCTACTGCATCGGTTCAGCGTGGGTGTGTAGGCACCAATGGGTCCAGTTCTTGTGTGCGCCATGGTTCAATCGGACATCGCTGAGCCTCAGGACAAGAAGCTTCATCCATTCTTCACGAAGAGCACGAGAGATCCTACAAGAACCGAACCGACCGCGGCCCCTACGAGTCTCGACAGCCCTCTTCAGGCCGACGCCGTTGCCTCCGACGCCGAGAACAATCCCCATGCGGTTTCCAAGAAGAGACAAAAGCAAGATGATACCGGCGAAGGGCAAGATGCCCCAGCATCTAAGAAGCCTCGAGGAAGAAAAAAGAAGGAGGTGATGCTGGGGCAGGAGTCCATCACCAACCTTCTTGTCCGTCCTCGTAATAAAGACACGGTCGTGGATTTGACCCTAGACAGAGTGGTAGCGAGTGATATTCCTACGCCGCCAAGCGAAATGTCTTCGAAGCCAAATGACGACCCTCCTCCCCAGCCGCCGGTGGAGGAGGCGATCAAAGCCGTTTCGGCGTCTCGACCACAGCCTAGTCTACCCAATACTCCTCCAAAAAAGGTTCTCAAGTTCAATCCGAAAACAGGAACGTTTGGATCTCCTCCAAAGCCCAAAAAGATCGAAAAACCTTCTCTCGTGGTCGCGATAAAATACGGGCAGGACGAGCCAAGCCGCATAAGTCTTGGGTCTAGGATTACCCAAGTCCTCGATGGCACTCTGGATGTCCTCCCGAAACGGGGGCGGCCGAAACGAAAAGCGAAAGAGACAGAACCTCCCAACCAACCGAATGACTCTACACCAAAAGCATCTCACCCATTCTTTTCAAATAAGGCGAAGCAATCGCCGGCAGATTCCCCCAAACCTGAAGCAAGGGAGCAGCCACCGCCTCGGAGACAGACAATATTCATGTCGACACCTGTATCCCCGAGGAAGGCCAAGACTCAATTATTCCCCTCGACAAAGAACACGGTGAACTGGGGCAGACTGGGACCAGCGGCCACAAAAGTACCAGGTGCAAAGCACCCGGAATGGCCGTCCTGTGGCATGTCACACATACGAGGCGATGACTCCGTTACCTGCTCATCCAAAGCCTACAGCGAATCTTTACCCTACAAAAAATCCAAGGGGCAGGTCGTCAGTGTGACGGCAGACGAATCAGTGATGTGCTGTCTAACAAGAGCACTGGATCTAAATCTTGTGCGTACTGATCTTCCCAGAGACGACGACAAGGTTGAGCCAGCACCCAAGGAGCTTCGCTTACCTTCTCGCGTGTTTGAAACGGGGCGGAAGCTGCAATCGAGGATTCGGCGCCAGCTATTGAACCACTCGGCCGCTTCGGTACAACCTGAATCTGATATCGACGAGCTCCTGTGTACAAAAACGCCTGTTACTCACCCGGCCATTACAAGATTATACGACAGCCTGGGGTCTCAACTTTCTGCGTATGACCGATCCACCTGTGAAAATATGGCATGGACACAGAAATATGCCCCTTCCGTGGCCGCTGAAGTGATACAAGCAAACAAGGAGGTGATCTTTCTGAAGCAATGGTTGGAGGCCTTGGAGGTACAGTCAGTTGATACTGGAAATGCCGATAAGGGAGGTGCTTCAGCCAAGGGGAAGAGCGAGAAGCCAGCGAAGAAGAAGCGCAAGAGTAAGCTCGACGATTTTGTGGTCGAAAGCGACGAGTCGGAGGAGCCCGACCTGAGTGAATTGTCCGAGGATGAGAGCGCTTGGGGACATGCTGGGCCAGGAACATTTAAGAAATCTATGGTCCGCGGTGTTGGTAAGAAGCAGCATCCACGACTTGCGAATGCTGTGGTGATCAGTGGCCCTCATGGGAGTGGGAAAACGGCTGCAGTGTATGCGGTTGCCAAGGAGCTCAACGTTGAGATATTCGAGATCAACTCCAGTAGCCGGCGCAGTGGGAAGGATATTCTGGAGAAAGTTGGCGATATGACGCGCAACCATCTAGTCCATCATCACAAACTGGAGTCGGCTACAGAGGAGGAGCAGGGCGAAGGAGAAACTGAGGATGAGGTTGCCAAAGACTTGAAATCTGGCAAACAGGGGATGATGACAGCATTTTTCAAACCTAAAACGACGAGCACATCAACGAAGCAACGCAACCAACCAAAGAATGACCGCAAGTCAAATACGGAAAGCAAGACTACACCAAAGTCCCAGAGGCAGTCTCTTATTCTGCTTGAGGAGGCTGATGTCTTGTATGAAGAGGATAAACAATTTTGGGCCACGCTGTTAACCATGATCGCCCAGTCTAGGCGGCCTTTCATCATCACATGCAATGATGAGAGCTTGATTCCTTTAGACAGCCTGTATTTACATGGCATTTTCCGATTCTCCCCGCCGCCACAGGCGCTAGCTGTGGATGTCTGCCTTCTCATTGCGGCAAACGAGGGTCACGCTCTCAGGAGATCTGCCGTCGAAGCCCTTTACACATCCCGCAACTACGATCTGAGAGCAACCATTACAGAACTCAACTACTGGTGCCAAATAGGAGTTGGGGATCGCCGTGGTGGGTTTGATTGGTTCTATCTCAGATGGCCCAAAGGCTCGGACCTAGATGAGAAAGGAGACGTGATACGAGTCGTCAGCGAGGATACGTACGTCAAAGGGATGGGTTGGATGTGCCATGATTTGTTGGACACTTCGCCAAAACGTCACCTGGAAATCGAGCAGGAGGCAATACGCCAATGCTGGAGATCCTGGAATGTTGATGCGGGAGACTGGCATAGCTCCATCGGCCTCAAAACATGTGCTGAGCCGCTCTCAGAACTGTCAACGAAGGAAGACCGGCTCTCTGCTCTCTTTGCGTTCGATGACTTCTGCTCGGCAATGAGCAGCTCAGACCTTTGCGCTTCCGGGGCCCTTGGGGTTGGACTTCACATGGCCATGGATACAAGCCTACCCGAACTCTCGCAGAAGACAAGGGACGATTTCACGTTGGGTCGCCCTCTCCTTGAAGCGGACCCTCTCGTCCCGTTCTCTGACGTTAGGGCGGACATATCTGCTGCAACATCATCACTGGCTCGAGAATGTCTACGATCATATGCTTCATCGCGACAAATAACAGCGGCATCATCAGCTCTCACTGCAGTGGGCGAGGCAAAGGCTGTCTCCATCCTAGAGTCCTCCTTCACCTCTTCTCCCAAGCCTCTGACAAGACTTGACGTCGCCTTTGCCTTTGACCCCATCGCCATGCCTGACTCGGGCTCGTCATCTCTGGCATACCTTGACCCCTCCGTCTTTGACCGCACGATGAAGCTCATCATAGTGGATGTTGCTCCATGGGTGCGGAGCATTGTAGAGTACGACTTCAGCCTCATGCTCGAACGCAAGAAACTCAGCAATCTACTCAGCGAAGGCGGGACCAAGAGAAGAATGCGAACTACACGCAGCGCCCTCTCTGCACTGGAGGGCGGGGAGAGAAAGTCGACGAGAGGAGAGAAGTACTTCAAAGCAGCGATCAACACGAGGCTCGTACTGGATACGGGATTGAAATCCTGGAGACTGGCAGAGAAGGAAAGCATAAAGGAACAAGAGACGGATGATCAACAGCTGCCAGCCGTCGCTAACAGCAGCCCTGCGTTAATCGACGAAGACATGGACAGCGACTAAAGCTGACTGACCTCCCGAAGGTCCAACCCCTATGTATGTAACTCTTCATGTGGAGGCGTCGTGTTGCATTTTCTCTTTCATTTTTCAAGCATAGCACGTATGGATTCATCGGATGGGCGTAAAGGACTAGACTAGGTGAAATGTTACCTAACTGTTTCTATATTTTCAGACCTGCCTCCTTAAGATATACGATGTTGTAGTCCGATGACTGGCGACGAGCCATATGACGCTGCCTCGCCCACGCTCCCAGGTGCACCAGCTTCAGGTGATGCGACACGAAGTCGTCCAGATCTACAAGGCGTCGCCAATCCTCTCTGGCCGGTGTGGGATTCTACGGGGCGATCCATGCTGGGCAGGATAGTGTATCAATCGGCCCAAAACTCCCACGAACCCTTGCTGGTGTGTGCCGGCATCACGGATGGGCTGGCCCAAGTGATGCACGTAAGTGATTGCGCGGGCGGGCAAGCGAGCTGTTTGAATTAGCAGGCACCCGAATGGAGAATGACCAAGGTCGTTGACGCCAAACAAATCCCTGCTTTTGCGTCCAGACGATTTCTTTCACGTCGAAAATGTGTTGCCGTACAGGAGGAGATTTGGGGGGAGTCGCTCGAGTAAAATTACGGGCGGCAGCCGATCAACGCCTGAGACTTGGGCTCGACAGCCTGTTGGTAGTTCAAGTGGTTTGATCCTTGTTTTCTTTAATTCCTGCATGGAAAGGAAAAAAGGTCCCTTTTTTTCCTCTCTCGTTCGTTTCCTTTGGCTCGCCTCGCTTCTGGGGGTGACCCAGCACCGTTCACATGCATCATCCTCTAGCCCTTTCTCAGCAGTGTTATAGCGAAAGATTGGACCCTCAGTCGGACCCCGGGATTGCAGCAAAGCAGTAATAAATGCGGTTTGGATTCACATCCCCCCTCCCATCTACGAGCGCCCCTCCCCTCCTCTCACCCCAGGCTTCCAGGGGTCCGATAATATACATAGTGAGAGTTAGGGCCATGCCTGATGCTGCAGAGGCCCTGCAGCCCATTCTCAAAGAAGCCTTGTTTGGACCATTTCGCAGCTGGGGTCCAGGAAGACAAGTCTAGGCAGCATGTAGGACTGGCTGCATTCACGATGATTGTTTATGCTTTCCCTAATCTTGAGGATTACGAGAAGCCTAACCGTAGGGATTACGTTCTTCGCCCCCTTCTCCTCCGCCGGAACGAACTACATTCTGTAAAGAGTTCAACACGGCTACCAATACATCGTATTCCGACGCCCTGGGGGGGGAAAGAGAGCAAGGGGGCGAGGAGGAGGGGAGGGGCCTTCTACGTTGAACCGAACTTACTGCATCATCTAGACCGGCGCCGGAATCAAACAACCTACCCACGAGTCTTGGGTGGTGGGTGGCGTTGGGGGTGGGCAGAAGGAGCTATTCCCCCCCGAAAGTGTGTGGCCAATCTCTCTCTCCCTCAGGCTGCAGCCAGCCAAAGGAGGCAGAAGGCAGCCATCTGCATTGCCGATCCCGCGAAAGGAATGAGCACTGGGAAAATAGGAAGAGATTGAAGTCAAGAAAAAGTAAAATAGCTGATACTTCAAATCTCCCCGCTCGTCTACAATAATTCGGTAATATGTACACGGCCTCGACATGAGACTTTCATCAACGAACGGGAGACACCCCTGCCCCGAATCAGCAGGAGGTTGGGATCGTCATGGCGATTCCTGTTAGGCTGTTGAGGGGCGGGCGGCGTATTCATCGGGCCCTGGCGTCACGGCCAACGGGCTGCGCGGAGGAGGGGGTCATCACGCGGATGGGGATGAGACGAGCGCATTGATGGCTTGAGGGAGTTACGAACTTGCACGGGAGGGGTTTCCAGACGGGCTGGAGCGCCGGCACGGTAGGATGAGGCAAGGGACTGAGCAGCTTTGGTTGTTGAGTCGTTAATTTTCTCTTGAGAGAGAGCGCCATCCAATAATACAGGGCCGGCGGGGGAGACTAAGAGCGAAGTTCCACGATTCGTGCGGCCGGTCCAGTTGCTGAGGTTAGTCATTCATCCATTCTTCTGGGCCACGCCATGGCTTTCTGCTAGCACGGGGATGGGGTGCTGTAGGGATCATGGAGAGAGCCGTCCAACCAGGCCAGGCCGGTGTATCTAATATCTCACCATCGCCTGTGAGGATCACCAGCAGTAGCGCCTCCTCAAACTACGTAGACATCCCATGCAGAGAGTGTGGGAGAGAGCAGTGATACAACTTGGCGCGCACGAAATAGAACGGCCGGTTGGGGAGGGCCTGGAACCATTTCAATTGGACGGGACAGCATTGGAGATCCTTGCACCGGTCTGGTCTGTATAATTACGCAAGTTGCCAGTAAGGCTTCGGCAGCTGCCCCCAGGCCAACCAGCTCTCGAAACCCAGACCCGAGACAAAGCAGGGGATGGCGTTGGCTCTGGCCGGGCCACGGAGCTAGGCTTGTTGGCAATGCAAGCACTTTAGGTTAAAGTAGCTGGCGAGTACATCTGTGCCTCTCTCTCGAGATACATGTATCTGTTGCAAAGGGCTGGTTTCGGATAAAATGACTCGTAATTCGCCAAGTCCTCCCTTCCAGACCAGAGGGCTTTTGCAAGATAGTGCCTCATGCGCTGTTAATCACCATTGGCTGGAGCCGCCTCCTCTGCTGGCGGGCTTTCCTCCGGTGAGGATCCCAGGCTACATACTTGGCACTCCTCACAGCAAATGAATCAATCAACGGCGCCTCCTTACAGCTCCTTAGAGCGGCTGACGTTGGGAGGGCGAGTGAGGAAGGAATCCGGAGCCAGGGAAAATCAGATCATTGATCCGATCCGGACCACCCCCAAAACCCACACAGACATCCTTTCAGCTCGCAATTTAGCGATGATTCCTGCTATTCCCAGTAGCGCAGCCTGGTGGGGTTTGGCATTCGAGACATCTTTGTCTTGTCTCGGCCCAGAGAGAGGAGCAGCATGGAGGGAGGGAAAACAACACGGTACCTAGGCTGGCTCCGTCTCTGATGTATCGCGCCCAGAGGCTGGCTTGGCTTGGCTGGTCCCCCACCAGAGACTAGCAAGAGGGAGTGATGACAGCACTATCACATAACTCGACGAAGTCAAAACCTAGAATGTGGCAAGGAGGCGTTCGGTGGGCTTTGTGGGCTGCGCAGGGCCCGGGCGTGCCACCAAGGACTCGCTCACTCGACGGAAATCACGTCTGATCGACTGCCATTGGTCGGCCGACTTGGGTTCCTTGTCACCCTGGCTGAGCTGGTAGTACCTCATTCACTGCCTCGGGACAGCCCCCCTTGTCTTGCCTGCCTGTCGGCTGTGGGTAGATGGGGAGGAGTAGAGTACATATCAAGTTGGCTACATTGGAAAACTCCACCCTCTAACATCTATCAAGGTTGGGCTTTTTTTATTCCTGTACTCATTTGCCTACCTGCATGCATGAAAAGGACCCAATGGGTTTGAGTAATACACAATCAAATGCATGACAGCGCCGATTGCACTTTGTTATCTTCGCCCACCCAACCCCCAAATTGCCCGAGTGTCGCAAAAGCTACCGAGACGATGGAGGGGGGTTCTAGACGGGACGGCTCAAAGTCTGTTTGCGTGCCGGACGTTCCCACGTTCGCTTAGGCCCGCGATGATGGCCATGCCTGTTGTACCCCGGTAAGCCTGGAGCTTTCTTTTTTTGCCTCGCCGCGAAAAGATGGTAACTCGGCGACATCGGATACCCATTCCATTCCACCATGTCCTGCGTCGGGAACCCGAGCCAGGGCCGCATGCCGCGGGTGTGCGAGATGGCTCCTGGTAGTGAAGCCCTTCGGAACAACCGTTGTCTGCTCGCCCTTCTTCTCCTGCCAATAGTGGCTAGAACGCAGGTAGGAAAACGCCTCTTTGGACAACTCCAACAGTCCAGCGCGGCGGTAGTGTCCCTATTGTGCGTTATAATTACCTTACCACGTAATCCGAGGCAGTGGCCACGGGCGGCAGAGCTCTCAGCTCAGCTCAGCTGGGCTTGGGTGTGGTGCGTCGTCACATGAATGGCGCAAGCAAGCAGGGAAACACCGCCTCCCGAGTCCGGCGTCTGGATAAGCAGGTCATAACGTACAGCAGGCAAATGGACAGTTATCAAGCCTTGGACTCTGCTCTCTGCCTTGAAACCGCCGGCTGCATTCATGGACGGGGACCGGCCAGGCAGGATCAGCTGGAGGCTGATCAAAGCCCAACGAGGTACATATTATACGCACATGCACACGCACGCAGGTGCGCAAGGGTTGGAGGTGTCGTCGGGTCTGGCTGGCTTGCTCACTAGCGAACTTGAGCGTGATGTGATGGGATTGATGGTGGCTGCTTTTAGTCGCCACGTACGTACGTGCAATAGCATCATTCTATTCCGCGTGAGGAGTCTTGGGAATGAGTCTTTGATGATGGCCTTGGACTCGCCATGAGGGTGCTCTGCATGACCAGCTGGACTGCTTCTATCCCATTAATGAAGCTGAGACTCTGGATATCGCCTTGAAAGAGGCATGAAGGTGCGTGTTAGTGGGATTACCGGGCTGAATGAACTGGGTACGGTATCATTTTCAATGGATGCCATATTAGTGTATTACCTACCCAGTCAGTATGTAGCAACAGGGGCCCTGATTGGGTGGTTCTTCATACATGCTTCTAGTAGTATTCTATATCCGCCGTAAAATATCAATTTCTCTATTATTGATCTCTTCTTCAATTTTCATTTCCTCCGCCCACCCATAGCCCCTCCTCCAATAGGCAGATACCAAGAGGCAAAGCTCTTCACCAAGCACGCCGCTGTAGCCAAGCTGAGCTGAGCTTGAGAGGAAACAACAAAACAAATCTCAGGCCGTACACAATGCATGCCACAACCTTGTCTGCCTCAGCCTGTTTTGATTTCCATCCTGATTCCTGACCAAGGGTGGGGCCAACGCCAGAACCCTGTCTCAGCCAGGTTTCCCCGTCATCAAACCCCCTTCCCACCCCAAAAGC